ATATAGTTTTAAATTTCTTCTTTCTTACATAAAAGATGGCATTTTTTTGCACTTTTCTTTTTAAAATATGGTAGAAGTCACTCGACTTTGTTCATAAAGATTTCACTCAATTCTTTCTTATATCTGCATAGTACTTTGTTATGTTTGGTTATACCAATCAATGAGTATGGAGAGCTACCTCCAAAATGCATGTAGCACAGGGTCTCCCTCTGCTGAAGCCCCATCCTGGAGTGGTGCATTGGTGAACTCTGCCTGGAATGAACCTGTGTTGCCATGTTGTCATCACACAGACTGCATAGTTTACCTTAAGGTTGTATGCTTTGGGATTTTGACAGATGTATATAGGTCTATGTCTTCCCTTTGTTCTAAATGGCTGTTTTCCACCTATTTATCCCTCCCTTCTCACCGGGTAACCATTGAACTTTTTTACTGATTCCTTACTTTCACCTTTTCTAGAATGTCATATAGTTGGAATCACATAGCATGTAGTTTTTTTAGATGACTTCTTTAATTTAGGAATATTCCTCCATGTCTTTCTGTGGTTTAACCTCTTCTTTTTAGTACTATAATAATCTGTTATTTAGATGTACCACTCTTTATTTATTCATTCACTTACTGAAAAATATCTTGGTTACGTTCATGTTTTAACAATTATGAATAAAACTGCTATAAACATTTGTGTGCAGCTTTTTGTGTGGACAGTGCTTTTCAGCTCACTCAGGTAAAAATCGGGGTTTGTGATTATTGGGCTAGTGKATGTTCTTCCCACAGTCTCACCAGCATTTGGTTTTCAGCCATGCTAATGGATGTGTAGTAGTACCTCGTTGCTGCTTTAATTTGTAGCTCCCTGATAATATAGGGTGTTGAGCATCTGTTCATATGCTTACAAGTGGTGACTTGTGTGTCTTCTTTAAAGAAATGTCTTTTATGTCTTCTCCCTTTTTTTCTTGCAGGGGTTTTTTGTTTTGGGTTTTTTGTTTTTTGTTTTTTTTTTTTTTTGGTTTGTTGTCTTGCGGTACTGGGTGCTGAACCCAGGGCCTTATGCCTATTAGGCAAGCACTCTACCACGGAGCTATATCCCTAGCCCATTTTATTTTGAGACTGGGGCTCACTAGTTGACCAGGCTGACCTTGAACTTGTGATCCTGCTGTGTCAGCCTGCCCAGTAGCTAGGATTACAGGCTCTGTATCAGTGCAGCACCTGGCTTCTTATTGAATTATACAAATTTGTGTGTGTGTGTGTATAAAATTGGCTCTTATCAGATTTGTCATCTTCACGTGTTTCCTTCCAGTGTGGTTTGTCTTCTCATTTTCTTGACAGTGTCTTTTGCAGAATGGAGGGGTTTTCATTTTAATGAAATTCATCTTATCAGTTTGCTTCCATGGATTGTGCCTTTGGTATTATCCTTATCCATAGTTATCTAGTGATTCTTTTATGTTATCTTAGAAATTTTATAATTCTGTTTTACCTTTAGATTTAAGTCAATTTTTGAAAACTAATTTATTTAACAGTTAAAATTTGTGTGTGTTTATTAATGTACAAGATGATGTTTGAGATGTATATACATACACACATACATCAGGGAATGGCTAAGGCGGGTGTTTAATGTATTATGCACATATTTTCTTGTGGCAAGCATCCACTCAGAAATTTTCAAATATCACTTTATTGACTATTAATAACTATAGTCACCAGGACATAGTAATAGATCTCTTAAACTTAATTCCTAAGTGAAATTCTGTATCTTCAACTAACATCAACCCAACATCTTCCACTGAGCCACTAGTAAACACCCACTTTGCTTTCTGAAGTAAAATGAATTTAGTTTTAGCTTTTTTACACTCTGTATTAGCGACATTGGGTGGAATCTTTCCTTCTGTGTCTGCCTTAACTCAGTTAACATTGTCCTCCAGATTCATCTGTGTGGTTTCAAATCAAAGCATTTCTTTTTCTGTAAAGCTGAATAATATTTCACTATTTGTAGGTAAGACGTTTTATGTATCCATCTATTCATTGTATGATCCATTTTAAGTTAATTTCTATAAAAGGTGTAAATTTTGTGTCCAGGTTAATATTTTGCATGTCCAGTTATTCCAATGCCATTTTTGAAAAGTTGTCGTTTATTATATTTCCTTTACTCCTTTATTAAATATTGGCTAATTATACTTAATGTGTATCTCTTTAGCTTCTCTGTTCTGTTCCGTTGATCTATTTGTCTGTCACTGGTACCCTGTCTTGATTACTGTAGCTTTATAGTAAGTCTTTTTTTTTTTTTTTAGTTTTTTTTAAATTTGTTCTAATTAGTTATACATGACAGTACAATACATTTAAGCACTTTGATATATCATACATAAATGGAGCATATTTCTCATTCTTCTGATTGTACATGTTGTAGAATGACACTGGTCATATAGTCATATGTACATAATGTAATAATATCTGTTTCATTCTACTAGCCTTCCCACCCCTGTACCCCCTCCTCTCACTCCCCTTTATCTAATCTAGAGTAACTCTGTTCTTACCTAGCTCACCCTCCCCTTATTGTGAATTAGCATCCACATATCAGAGAAAACATTCAGCCTTTATTTTGGGGGGGATTGGCTTTTTTAATTATCATGATATTCTCCAGTTCCATCCATTTACCAGCAAATGCCATAATTTCAATCTTCTTTGAGTAATATTTCATTGTGTATATGTTCCACACTTTCTTTATCCATTCATCTGTTGAAGGGCACCTAGGTTGGTTCCATAGTTTAGCTATTGTGACTTGAGCTGCTATAAACATTGATGTGGCTGTGTCMCTGTAGTATGCTGATTTTAAGTCCGTTGGGTATAAACTGAGGAGTGGGATAGCTGGGTCAAATGATGGTTCCATTCCAAGTTTTCTAAGGAATCTCCACACTGCTTTCCATGGTGGTTGCACCAATTTGCAGTCCAACCAACAACGTGTGAGTGTACCTTGCCACATTTATTGTTGTTTGTATTCTTGATAATTGCCATTCTGACTGGGGTGAGATAAAATCTTAGAATAGTTTTGATTTGCATTTCTCTAATTGCTAAAGATTTTGAACATTTTTTCATATATTTGTTTATTGATTGCATTTCTTCTTTTGTGAAGTGTCTGTTCAGTTCCTTAGCCCATTTATTGATTGGGTTATTTGATTTTTTTGGTGTTAAGTTTTTGAGTTCTTTGTGTATCYTGGAGATTAATGCTGTATCCTGAGGTACATGTGGTAAAGATTGTCTCCCATTCTGTAGGCTTTCTCTTCACGTTATTGTTTCCTTTGCTGAGAAGCAGCTTTTTAATTTGAATCCATCTCATTTATTTGATTCTTGATTTTACTTCTTGTGCTTTAGGAGTCTTATTAAGAAAGTCAGATCCTGGGGCTGGGGTAGTGGCTCAGTGGTAGAGTGCTTGCATGAGACACTGGATTCAATCCTCCGCACCACATAAATATAAAATAAAGATATTGTGCCTACCTAAAACTAAAAAATAAATATTAAAAGAAAGAAAGTCAGGTGCTCCTAAGCTGACATTATGAAGATTTAGGCCTACTTTTTCTTCTTTTAGGCACAGTGTCTCTGGTCTATTTCCTAGGTCCTTGATCCACTTTGAGTTGAATTTTGTGCATGGTGAGAGAGAAGGGTTTAATTTCATTTTGTTGCATGTGGATTTCCAATTTTCCCAGCACCATTTATTGAATAGGCCAGCTTTTCTCCAGTGAATGTTTTTGACACCTTTGTCTAGTATAAGATAACTGTATTTATGTGGGTTTGTCTCTGTGTCCTCTATTCTCTACTACTGATCTGTATTTCTGTTTTGGTGCCAATACCATGTTTTTGTTTTTGTTTTTTTTGTTTTTGTTTTTGTTTTTAGTGGTGCTGGGTGTTGAACAGTTTGGGGCCTTGCAATCCAGGCAAGTGCTCTATCGCTGTGATATATCCTCAGTCCTTTTTTTTTCCCTTTATCCCCTTTTCTTTTCTTTGCTAAAACTGATCTTGGACTTATTGATCCTTTGGCCTCAGCCTCCCCCCCAGGGAGCTGAGATTACAGGCATGTGTCACTGCACCCAGCCCTTGGCTTGCTCTGGATGTTAATGGAGATGACGCCAGATTTTTTTCACTTAAGCTACTGGGCTTAGATTAATCAATTTATATTTTTTCATGTTAGAAACCAATGTTCATTAATTCCTACTCAGGGTGTTTTCAGCAAGAATGAATGTTGTTTCTGTTGTGAATAATTGTGCAGCATCTGTGGAGATAATTATATGGTTTTTCTCCATAGATCTATTAATATAGGGTATTATGTTAATAGGCTGCCAAATGTTGAAGGATTTCCTGATACTGACCCAATCTTGCATTCCTTAAATAAATCCTACTTGTTCATGGGGTATTATTTTATTAATGTGATGTTGATCTTTGTTAGTATTTCTCATTAATAGTGATATTGGGCTGTACATATTTTTGTGCTCTCTTCATTGGATTTAGTTGTCAGTGTTATTTTTATTTCACATACAAAAATGTTGTGATTTTTTTATTCATTTTCAGTCTTTCAAAAACATTTTTGAATCAGTGGGCTTATTTGTTGTTTTTAGATTTGTTAAATTTCCCTTGTGAAATAATCTGTTACGATTAGTCTGTGCAAGTCAGTATTTTAAAACTTTCTATATCTAGTAGGGTTGATTTTTGATAAGTTATGTTTCTTGAGAAAGCAGTATATTTCAAAATAAAGATTTTCAAAATAAGCAGGATTTTTATGTATAATTAGTTYTGTTGTTTTTCTTTTCTCTAGTTTTATTTTTGTCCTTTTTTTTTTTTTTTAAGAGTCATATGGGATGGTTTAGGAGTATGGTTATTCTCTACACAGTTGAGTTTGAGGGATTACATACAAAAAATTTATCTCCTCCCCCTCATTGTTAGATCCTTTGAGAATAAATGAGCTAATGATGAATCCTCCCACTTACAGCTTTTTGTTCTTTTCATGTCCTTGTGTTTTACAGAATGCTATCTGCCTTGAGAAATCAAATTCTCAGGACCAGGAAGTAAATGCAGCTTTTCTTCATCTAGATTCTAGGTAAGCTAAAGTTTCTTCAGTCTTTTGAAATGTACCTTCTCTCTCCCAGACCAGGGCCTATCCCTGTAACATTTTGGTCCTTTCTCCTTATCAGGTAAGGAGTGAGTCAAATTTCAATGAGAATCATTCATGCACAGCACATTGTTAAGCACTAACTTTATGCCTAACACTTCATACTGGAGAAAGAACACCAAACAAAATAAGCGCCCTTTCCAAATTTTAACAGACAATAAACTAATAAGGGAATTATATTGTTGAGAGCCACAGCCGAAGGGGCCCCAGCAAACTTCCAGAACCCAGAAAAGTTCCAGCTGCCAGCTGACGATTGGCTCACAGCGGCCCCAGCAAACTTCTACCTGTCAACTGATTGGCTCCTCTGCGGTGATGCTCATTGGGCTGTTTCCCCGCCCTTTTAGACCATGGAGCTGCTCATTGGGGGGCGTTTTTGGCTCCCCCCACATGACCCGGCCAATTGGCCTCAAGAGCAGGAGGAGTGGGGGAGGTAGAGAGGCTTGTGGGAAGCCAGTGGTGGCAGTTTGGCTCTGAGGGTTTTCCTGAAGAGCTGTGTGGTTTGGTGTGTGTTCTAAAAATAAAGTTCGTTTCCTTTGACAAGTGGCTCCTGAATTGTGCCCAGCCAGACTGCGGCATTTGGTGGCCCATACAGGAATGACTGAGGGTAAGTGATAAGGTAAACTGCTCGCCCCTGAGGGCAGGGCGAGAGGATGGGTAGCCATTTTAAGATTCTTCTTTTGTTTTGCTTCACTTTTGTTTTAAGTTGCCTGTCCCTGGGGATGTGTAAGATGGAAGAAAAACCGCTCACATCTGAGGAACAGATAGGGAGAAAGGATGGATGGACATTTCAGGAGGATAGAAAGGCTTATATAATGA